TTTTTTTCTTTTTGAGACATCGTCTCACTCTTGAGTTCAGGCTGGCCCTGAGCTCACTTTGTAGTCCAGGCTGGTTTCAAACTCACAGTGATCCTCCTGCCTCAGCCTCCCAAGTGCTGGGATTACAGGCATGAGTCACCATGCACGGCTTACCTGATATATTTTGATGCTCTGTCTTTTAGGTACATATGTATTAAGGATGATTATATTGGATTAAAGATTAATCCTTACCTTGGTTATCATGGCTAAGGACTGTCTCCTTAGAGAACTGACCCTTATATTGTTATGTAATCTCCCTCTTTGTCACCTGTAGTTATGCTGGTTCTAAAGTTACTTCTGTCTAATATTAATATAGCTTCTCCAGATTTCTTTTGATTGGTATTTGTATTGATGTTATATCATTCTCCATCCCTTTACCTTTAACTGTGTCTTTATATTTAAAGTGGGTTTCTTGTAGACAGAATGTAGTTAGATCTTGTTTTTTAATCTACTGTGTGTCTTTAAAATTATTATATGTAAAATGATTCATGACCATTCATATTTAAAATGATTGCTAATGTAGTTAGATTAAAATCCACAACCTATTTACTCCATTCCCACCATCCTCCTCTTTGCTGCCTTCTCTGATTTTAATTGAGCATTTTAATATGATTCCACTTTACCTCCTTTGTATGTATTATTTATACTACTTTCTTTAACTTTTTCAGTGGTTGTGTTGTGTTCTACAATACTGATTTTTAAATAATCAAAGTTCACCTTCAAATAGTAAACCATTTATAATCTTCCCTTTGAATAAACTAGAGTAGGCCTTTGGAAGACAAGTGTTCTAGCCAGAATTTAATTACTTTGTCTTGTTTCATTGTGTTTATTTTACAGTTCCTTTCTATTTATGTATAGGAATAGTGGTTTTTCCATTACAGTCATGTTAAAACCATAGTAGGAGTTGAGATAGAAGTGGTAGAAGTTTCTTTATAAAAAAAAGAGCACGTAGTGGGAAAAGCTTCATTTGAAATTCAGAAATCTGGGGCCAAACCTGGTTACTTGATTTAGAGTGAATTCACATCATGCTTTAAGTTAATCTTTTTGGCCTGGACTTTTTCCCCCATCAGGTGTATCAAAGACAATACCTATGTCAACCTCCACTCTCCACAGAAGAATGTGGCCCAGTTCAAGTTCAATGCCTTCAGTGTTCTTGACAGCTATGATGTGGTCTACCTGCAATGTAAGATCATCATGTGCAGAGAAAGGGACTACTCCTCTCGCTGCTCCCAGGGCTGTGCAGAGCGAAAAAGGAGAGATGCTGATCCCTTAGAGCCCAAGGAAGAGCAGACAGAGCATTTCCAGATAGTGGGGCCACTAGAGATCCACAAAGCAACCAGTCAGAGCGAGACCCAAGTGTGATCTCTCCAATTTGCATGTAAATATATTAGAAATTGGGAGCAGTCTACATCTTGCAGTGAAGCAGTGTCTGGTAAATCAGAAATGATCCTTACAGAGACAGGCAAGAGAAACAGAAGTATTGCTGCTCTGAGATTTTTTACTAAATAAATCTCTCATTACTGCATTTCAAAGGCAGTTACACTTTCTAGACTAAAAATGCTGATTTTCTAATTCTGCACTATCAAGAAGTTGATCATTGTCTTAAAGTGTACAAAATGTTATTAAAAACAGGATTGTCTCCTTCTACCTCATGGGCAATTTACAGATATTTTAAAAAATTGATTCCTTCTTACTCAGATACTAACATGTGGATCATTGTTTCTGTTACTCTGGTGATGTGAGAATTTTCAGATCTTGCTAAGGGTCTTATGAAAAATAAACTAAGTGTCTGTCAGGAAGCCACTGCTCATTTTTCTTTAAATCTAGTAATGGGACAGTTGAATCACATGTGTCATTGACTCATCAAAACAAGCTTTAATTGATTTTGTTTCAAAGGGAATAAATTGGAGCCCAGCTTTATGGGGTTGGGATGTCAAGTACCTGCTTTCCGAGCTGCCAGATCTCCATGTGGTAGTGTTCTCAGTCTGTTTCACAGATCTCACGTCATCCAGGAAACCAGAGAAGTATACAAACAGACAAGAAACAATCCACATGTTGCAGTGTGCTCCTGTTAAAGAAGGACAGCACCTGCTTTGTTTCGTGTGACAGGAAAATACCTATGGTAGCCTTGCTAGTCTCAGGATTTCCTATAAATACACAGACTTGAACACTGATGGTTTTGTTTTTGCTTGCCAAGAAAACTTATTAGCGATATTTAAAATGTGAACTCCTGTCTCCAAGAAATTGTTCCACTTTTTGTCAATAAATAGTGGTATAAGAGATGAGACTACAGTGTTGTGAAGTTCCACAAGGCCACGGGCATTGTCTGGTGCAGCCTGGGAGCCGCCCCTCAGGTCCTAAAAGACAAAACTCTGACAAGTGACCCAAATGCCATGCCTGCTAATAGGAACATCTCAGTTCTATTAGTAACATGGCCTTCATCGATAATTATGTTGGTAAAAATATGATGCTGATATTCATTTTGATGAAGTGCCCTCCACCCCATGCTCCCCAGTGCCCCTTTCCTCCTTCCTCCCCTCACAAGGGTGAGGTCAAAAGGCAAGGTGGGAATGTGGATGCACATCACCTCCAGACAGTAGTGGGACCCTCAGTTGCACATTCCCTGTGAGGTACAGACCAGTTGGGAAGACTGGACCTCCACCCCACTCCTATAGAGAAAGGATAAGGAACTCCTTTTATTCTGTCTGCTGAGATCAAGCCTAGGCCATGGGTGAGGGAGTGGGGGCAGGTCTTTCCCTCCCGCTCCCACTGTAGCAAGACGACCCCACTCCTCCAGGCAGATGAGCTCAAGTGGGCAGCCTGGATTCCAGCCCCTGGCCCCTCTAGTTTGCACGAGCCAGGTATTCTATTGACCATCTGTTTGTTTCTAGTCTTTCTGAAATATTTTAAGGAAGTCTCTTGTCTATAGTATAGAGGTAGATCTGCCCTGTGAGACATTCTGAAATCCTGCTTAGTAAGCTGTTTATTAGCTGTTTTAGGAATTGAGTGCAGTGACTCCTCAGGGGTGATACCCAGATGCCATTTCAGACTGTCATCTATTCTCCAGGCTGCTAGGGATCATTGACTGCTGGTGGTTCTTAGTACCTCTGCTCTCTGGAATCTCCCTCAACTTAAAATATCCATCTCATTCACCTTTACAACCATAACTTGACCCAGAGACCCATAAGGTCTGAGCACTGCACCTCAATAGGGCATCTGAAGGGCCAACCTGTCCCCAGGATTCCCCAGGGAATTGGCTGGGCCCTGTTACTGCAGCTGTTTCCCAGGTCATCAGTTCCCAGTCCTGCCTCGCTCATCCCTCACAGGGGTGACCCTGAACCACTTCCCAGGAAGCCTCTGGGCCAGGATGTATTTTCCCAAATCCCCACCCAGGGCAGTCAGGACTAGTGTGGCCCAAGAAAGAAGTTCTAACGTGGGATTCTGGCACTGGCACTGAGAACTCTTCATTGGTGGGGGATGGAATATGCATGACCCGACTGCTCAGATATTTGCTTGTTTAGTCCCCACCACACCCAGGAAGACAGTAGCTACTGCCATCCATATTTTAAATTGTGGAGACCTGGACAGTACACCCGACTAGGTAAGTGTGAAGGACTAAAGGCCAGGCCACCAACTCCAGATCCAGAACATCACTATAGTTCTTCCTAAAGAAAAAAATATATGTATACTTTTTAAATGGTAGTGTACAGCCAGGCATGGTGGCATATGCCCAATACCAGCACTTGGGAGACTGAGGCAGGAGGATAGCCATAAGTTTGAGGCCAGCCTGGGCTATATAGTGAGTTCAAGGACAACCTGAACTATATAGTGAGATCCTGTCTCAGAAAAAAAGAGATGATGGTGTACAAACTGACAGTGAATTGGTGCAGTTCAATATCTGCATTACAAAGGATATTTCAGGGTTCGTGGTAATACAACTTTCTGTAATTTTTTTCTTATACTTCCATGCTGAATTTGCCTTCTGCCTACCTGCCCTGCTGGCCAGCAGAGAACATCCAGTCATTTCCTGCTGGAGAGATAAACTGAAGGGAATCCACAAAACCAGGCTTTTGAGCTATTTTAAATACTGAATGTTATTGCCCCATTCTAATCAAACTTCAGGTGTTTTCATGCTAGGTTAAAAAAGAAGCTTGCAATAGATTTAAGTTTTATGGACAACCATATAGAAGACTCACTGCATGGCTACTTGGAAAAATATTTAGAAGATCTACATGGAGATATTAAAAAGAAAGTGGAGATAATTTGGTTTGATTTGAAGCTAGAAAATCTTCAGTTTTGTTTGATTTGAAGCTAGAAAATCTTCAACAAGTCCTCCAGGACTTGTTCAGGGAGAGTTCAGTTTCTGTCATGTCCTTTGTGTGTTCCCTCCAGCAACCTGTGCATGTGATACATGTCTACAGGTGTAAAGAGAGTGTCTTTGGGCATTCAGGAATGCAGCCACCTGGTTGGGCTTATACTGGAATCTGAAACTGTATGTTTGGCTAGGTGATGAGGATGCACTGTACAGTATTGCTCATCTAACATAATTAGCCTCAATGCTTTAATATTTGCTCACCCACAATACACTGGAACTTGTAAATCACAGCTGGCTACTCCTTGCTAATATGATTAATCATTGCCTTTGATATTTGATGATACATAGGAGGACAAACGTTTTTATTTCTTCATTCAGAAACTATATGAAGTCTCTCATTTTATAGTCCGGTTCTTCCCCCTTTTTTCTGAGCTGCTTAAGGTGAGAAATACTGAGGCTGCATTTCAGAAGTAAAACACCGGAAGCAAAGCAACTGCACTGCCCTTTTCCACACTTTTGTTTCAGATACTTAGTGTTTCTAAGGTAGCATATTTGCCATTTCCTGTTTGCATTTTACATTTGCATCATTTCTATAGCACCTGAAAAATAGAAGCATCAAACCCTGAAGACTACTTTTCTTAAGCAAAAAAAAACCTTTTTGTGTTCATCTGATATTTGGTTAAAGTGTTTCATGTTTATGAAAAGAGATACTTATAATTCATGTAATGACTTCAGTTCCTAAGATAAGAGCTAATGGACACAATATTTGTTCATTTCAGTTATCTTTTAATGAAATATACTGACACAGTGACATAAAAGTCTGTGTATCACTTTTTCAGGACATTCCTACTTTGCTCATATCCTGGGTAGCCATGAGAGATCATTTCTTTCAGCATACTGGGAGAGATTTGTCTTGCTTAGAGCTAAATCAGCTAGTTAATAGTTCTGCAACCTCTGGTATTTGTAGTCTGTTCGCTGATTTACAAAATGCCTCACTGTGATTGCAACCACAATCACTACATTCAGAGCGAGGACCATGAATGAAAACAGATGCAGACCATTGAAAGACTGCCTCCAAGTTCCTTCTGCAGGTGCCTGGTGCAGAACTCCTGTAAATGGAAGTAAAAAAAAATGATTACCATTACAAAATGTTGGCAACATGTATAATAGCTCTATACACCCTTTGAATCTTATGCATGCATTAATGCATAACTCCAAAAGAATATTGAGGAACTATTATCAAATATTTTATTAACTTGTGTTTATATTAAATTTATTTGTTTAAAATGGTTGACTTAGTTTGGTTCCTTGATATAATACAAAAATGTGAAGTTTAAGTATAATAATTGAATGGAAATACAAGTTCATTTTAATGGTCATTCTTTTCCATAGTTGTCAAAATACATTTGGCCAACAGGAAATAATTTTATTTATTCTTTTGAAACAGGAAAAGGATAATTTTCTAATATGTAGGACATTTCCATAATGAATTTGATTCACAGATTTTCAACTAATTTCAAATTCTAGACATACTATACTATGTATTATACTACAAATGCTATCCTACTATAAATTCATCATGAATGCCTTTTAGTGAACGTGTTTATTAAAGTTACTGAATTTAATTTTTGTTGGTACTCTGTTCTTTTTGCCAAATAAATGTTTTGCTGTAAGCCAGAATCACTCTGAGTATAATCCATACTACCACTAATAAATAGAGATAAGTTATAGGATTCTTTAATGCCGTAATCACACCTAAAGTAAATTCTTTAAAAGACTTTTTATTTCATCAGGGCTTATCTTAAGCCATTTAATTGTGGATTATCCTTGAGTAGTCATCATTACTTCTTTCTCATGCAACCTAACTGGTCTCAGGCATCAAGCCTTTAAAAAGGAGCTGAGTTGTCCTGTATCAATAGAGTAGATTCTCTGTTTTTAAAAAGTAACTTTAGGAGCTAGGCAGAGTGGCATACACCCCTAATTCTAGCACTTGGGAGGCAGATGCAGGGGGATTGCTGCTAGTCTGAGGCCAGCCTGGGTTACATACTAAGTTCAAGACTAGTCTGCACTCCAAAGTGAGACTCTGTCTCAAAAAAACAAAGTAAAACTTCAGCTGGGCATGGATGGTGGCACACACCTGTAATCCCAGCAGTCTGGGAGGCTGAGGCAGGAGAAGTGCAAGTTCAAGCCTATCCTGAGCAATGTAGTGACTTAGTGAGACCCTGCTTCAAAATTTAAAAAGGGCTGGGAATGTAGCTCAGTGTGAAGGTGCTGGATTCAACCCTCAGTACCACAAAAAGAAAAAAGAAAGAAAACAACAAAAAAAGTTTTTTTTCCAATAAGCTATTGCATAGTATGCTGGCTGACTTTGCTTTAATCAGAGGATAAAATACATCACTTCTTACAAACAACAAATAAACATATGAAAAAATGTTCAGCATCACTGATCATTTGAATGACACAAATTAAAACAATGCTGAGATTCTGTCTCAAGCAAGAAATCAACCAATAACAAATGCTGGCAGGGTTGTGAAGAAAAGGGAAGCCTTATCTGCTGTTGGTGGGAGTGTAGACTGGTACAACCACTGTGAAAATCAGTGTGGAGGTTTCTCAAAAAACCAGGAGGTTACTCTGGTTTCTCTTCACATTATATAAATCTTTTGCCTCAAAAAACCAGCACTACATGTTCTATTTGACCCTGATATTCCCCTTCTTGGTATCTTCCCAAAAGAATTAAAAACATCATATCACAGAGACATATGCATACCCATTTTTGTAGCAGCATAGTTTATAATAGCCAAATCCTGGAAACAGCCTAAATGTCCATCAGTTGGTGAATGGATAGAGAAGATGTGGGTTTTCTTTTTATACAGTGGAGTACTAACTACTCTGATGTAAAGAAGGATAAGCTCAAGACATTTCTAGGTAAATGGATGCACCTTGAGAGAATTTGCTTAAGTGAAATAAATCAGCCACACGTGTAAACACTGCATTGCTTTTTCCAGTGTGAGAAATCAAAAGTGTAAATAAGGACCAAAATGTAATAATACGGATTGTGAAATGGGAGGAAAATGTTCAAATGGGGAGGGGGAACAAGAGAGGAGGAAGGGTAAAGAAAAGAAGGAAAAAGTTTAAAAAACAAGGAAAGAAGGAAAAAATGGAAACAAAGCTTTTGTAAATGGGGAGAGGAGGAGGGGTTGAAAGGAGGATAGGGGAATGGAGGAAAAAAAACAAGTTAAATCATGTACAGGTACAAATTCTCTATGATGAATGTGATCATTACGTATATCTAAAATGTACCAATAAAGTCTGGAGAAAAGAATACATTGCTTCTGATTTAGTTCCGGCTATGGTGTCTATATCAAACAGGAAGTGAAAGGAAGCTTGTTTTTAGAAATAAGGACATTACTTGTGTACTCAAAAGCTATGTGATACACTGGTGAATCATCAGTGTAGCATCTTTACACTGCACCCAGGATGCATATTGTCGACTTATGAAAACAAATATTTATTCTGTGTGCTTAAAAGTCACCACTTATTCACCAGAAGTTTTATTATAAGTCTCTGAAGTGTACATCTTAAAAACAACCACATTTTATAAGGCAAGAGTTGTTCTTAGATCACGAAATATCTTTTTTTTCTTACCTGAATTTCCACTTGCACTGCGATCCCTTTTCAGACGAATGGGTCCTATGATAGAATCAGTCTTCCACTTGTATGAAGAAGTATCTCGTTTCCTTCTAGTAACACAGCCTTGGCTACAGCGAGACTGGGCGTCACCACTATCACATATCAAAACCTTACACTGCAGATACACAGAATTCAAACTTCTCAAGAATTTAAACGCATTAAACTGGAATCTTCCAAAGTGTCCAGATAAGGGATACACCTTACAGGTCTCATCTCGACTACATCTGAAACGGAATTTATGAACACATTCAGGAGATACACAGTACTTTATCTTTCCTATACTAGGAAGAGATGGTACAAAAGTTTCAATAAACTATCTAATTTGTGAATCCAGAAGTTTCTCTAGAAAGACAACATCTGTGCCTCACACTACAGTAAGCTAAAACCATGGATCTTATTTCTGCATAACACAGTAAGGTTCCTTCTAGGTTTAAAATTCCTGGCCATGTAAACAAATCAGAAAATTAACACCTATGTATGGAGAGTCAGATACTCCCTCTCATGTTTGTTATTAATCCATCAGCCTGGTTGATTTAGTAAAATCTGTCAGCTTCTTGGAGGGAAAAGGAAAAGTTTTCTTTTCAAAGAAGAATTTTATATTTTTAAGAATGCTACATACACTTTCCTGATGATATTATGTTATAAAGATGACACACATTAAGTAATCGTCTAGATTTTTGTTAAAATAACCAAAATATACAAAATCTAAAACATGAATAGGTCCCTCTTGACAAAAAGTAAATTTTTTTTTAATATCTTATAAATACCCTTAAAATGGTATGCTCTACATATGGGCTATGTCTATCTAGTTGATTTAACTTAAAATTTTGTGACATGTACACAGCAATTGTATTTCCTAAAATGATTAAGATAAATTTAATTAAATTGAAGAGCTAAGATTAATTTAATTAAATTCCATGGGAATAGCACTAGGAAAAATCATATATGTACAAAAATATTATTTTATTAAAATCACTATCTGATATTCCTGGGAAGGAATATCAGAAATCATCTGGGTTGCTACATACCCACTCTTAATCAAGTCGTAAGTTGGAGAACCAAAGTCAGACGTAGGAGAGGCTATACAGGCATCGAGAAACACCACCAAGTTTGAATCTGAGGAATGCAGGCTGACTTGGACAAAAAGAGTTTGGTTCAAATCTGCATAATATGGTGACTGCAATATAGGGTTTTCAAATGAATTAGTTTCAAAAAGAGCCATGCTGGTATTGTATTTGCCCAGCACATTCTGATTTTGTATTACATCGTCTTCTGTTATGTACATTATCTCCACAGTGGAATTATATTCCATTTCACATTTCACAACAATCTGGAGATGTTTCTGACGGGTGATCACCGGAGAAGTCGGGGATACAATAAAGGTGATTATGTTGGTGTAAGTAATTGAATGGTCTTCAACCTGCAGAACAAGATGGAATTCAAACTTTATATTTTAGTCCGGTCATATTTTTTCAGTGATATTTTTGAGCATACCTGTGAATGACTCTTGCAGATAGAGACATAATTTTCTTAATTCACAAGATAACAGCTTTTGTGTCAAAATACTATGTGCCTTAAATGTCTTATTGAAGAAACATTTTGGAACATGAACCATGAAAGTGTGAGATGAGAGATGCAGCTGGGAAATAGAAATGAATGGAAGTTTTTCAGTTACGTGAAAATCAATTTGTGGCCAGGTGTGGTGGTACACACCTGCAATCCCAGCACTCAGGAGGCTGAGGCAAAAGGATCACCGTAAGTTCAAGACCAGCTACATAGTGAGTTCAAAGCCAGCCTGAATTACATAGCGAAGTCCTGTCTCAAAAAAAAAAATCAATTTTGAATGCAAATTTCCAGTCCTATAAAGACGTTAAAGCCTACAATATATTCTTTACATAATGAGCACAAAGTGTAGCTAAGCAGGCAGTTTCCCGAGTATGCACAGACAGGAGCTAGTAGGGTTCCCTCAGCTGTCTTCCTTAGTGTAGTGAAATCTGTGCTTATTTGTGGCACACAGAAACAGATTTACTTCTGTCCTGATCCATCCCTCTTGCAATGCCCTCATTCTTTTCAGATAGGTTGTTGCTTAGCATCCTGAGTGATAAGTTTACAGTACACATCCTAAAGGGACCCACAAGTTGAAGTGCCTGAAATCTTGAATCCAAGTTCTAGAACACATAGAACAAATCATAGACTTACGATAAAATCTCTCCTATTTAAAGTAAGGACAATGTTTTTACCAAGTGTCTTCATAAGGGAAGAACATCTTTAAAATTCAGCTTTTTGCTAAATATGAGCTGTAAACATTTTCTGCACAAGTGTTTCATAGTGCATAGATGTTCAAACTCTCTCTCATGCATTTTCAGAGCTCTTTACCCTCTGGGGGGAAAAACAGAACACCAGCTACCCTGAAAATGGAGGCAACAGTTTGGCATTTATGTATGAATGACTGTGAGCACTTGTGTATCTACACATAGTCATCACGTGTTCATTCAGTAAGAGCTGACCATGCTTTGTGGAAACAGCTAGCAAGCATTCATTATACTCACTGCTTTATCAACATGCATTTGGCATTTGATAGACCCCAGCTGTCAAGGTTTCACTTTACCTTTTTGACTGTACCACATTCATCCAGAGGGATAACAAATTCCACAACATTTGATACTTTCGGTCTGCAAGTTGGGTCATTTAGTTGTAAGTTATTCTCATTATAGTTAAATGACTCTAGATAGGATTTGCTTAGGATAACTCTCATCTTGTCAGAGTCACAAATTAGAGATGCTGTCAGGGAAACAAAGTGGGGAAAGGATGGTCATGTTTGTGATGGTTAGGAACTCTGGATCGTAGACTTCCGTGTGCAGGTGAGTCTATGAACAACCAAAATCCATGTACTCCCTCAGTGGTAGTTTGAAGCCTGAGATAGCTATGCAATTGATGCACTTTTTACAATGTTTATTTTCACCTTGAGACTAGAATCTGTAAATCTAATATTTTTATATCTTTTCAGATGGTATGTAGAGAACTAGTCCTTATTTTCTGCAGATATCTTTTTCAGGTGGATAAAATTGTTTATTTCTTCTTATATTAAGCAATGCACAGAACTGATTGTCAAGCCTCAGGTTATGACAATGTTCCCAAATATACTTAATAAGTTTGCACACAGGGTTAACCACAGAGAGGCATTTTTTATGTAGACAGTTCAAAATTGCCAAGAAATATAAAATATAACTTACTCGTGTTGACATTTTCTACATAAATTGAAGTGTAGAAAGCAGAAAAACCCCGGTAGGAATTGGCATAATCTGTAGATAGCACGACAGTCAAGGAGTCTGAGGAAGATTCAAAGGTGGGTGTCACACGGCCACAGACTTGTCCCATCAGGCCAGACTCGGTAGAGGAGCCATCATAAACAGCAATAAAATCAAATCTGCACTGATCATCTGGTTCTAGGCTAAGGAAAAAAGTCTCTGGTGAAAAACTTTTAAAACCTATTCAAATATACTGGCTTTCAATCACATTCTTAAGAGATTCCTGATTTTTCCTTACAATGGCATCATAAGATGACAAGTCTTGGGGCTGGGGATTTAGCTCAGCGGCAAAAGCGCCTGCCTGGCAAGCGCAAGGTCGTGAGTTCGATTCCTGGTACCGGAGAAAAACCAAAAAAAAAAAAAAAAAAGATGACAAGTCTGGGATTTTGTCATCTGATGGGACCTCTAAATCTTCAGAAAAATAGTCAACTAGTTCAGTGCAATGGTACTGCTGGGTGTCTTCCTTTTTATGTCAATTCCTTGAAAAGTTCCCACTTACTGGGGCTGCATGTGATTAATTCTCTTCCCAGGCCCCCTACTTGCCAAATGGGTTCGCTGCATTTGCTCCCATGGAAGTGGTCCCCAGTACTTACAAAATCTCTTGGAAGTTTAATCTTATCTTGTAACCTTTTTCCACTTGTATGTGCCACACACAATAAGCCAGCGCAGGATGTGACTGCGGGTAATTGGGACTGGTAAAGGATCCTTCCAAAGTGTTCAGGTAACCACCACAGTTTGGAAGAGCTGAAAGAAATATAAAGGCGATCAAGAATGTAAATCAAAACAGAGACATATTTCAATTCATGCATTGTGGATGGAGGGTAACATGTCCTCCCCTGGGTGTAATTTCATCTCTCTCTTTCCCAGGGGCTGCATATTTAGGTTTTAATTCTTCTTTATCAATGGAATTTCTGCCCCTTGGTGTAGGGCAGACAGCAGATCTTTATGGTGCTACAAATGAATAATACTAAATCCACCACAGCTGTAGAAACCCTCCATTGCCTGGATTGAGTCATAGAAAATAAAGTCACACTCTTCAGACCAACATTGGAGTCTCATCCTCCCTTAACTCTAGCCTATCTGTCTAGACCTATTGGCCATTAGGAAATGGCCTGCTGCCCCAGCCTGTTCTTTCTTCCCAGATCTGTTCAGAACTGCTGGCTCTACTCTCCATTCCTTCTCTGCTACTTCTGCCTCTCCCTACCCTAGTCATGCTGTTGTTCAAAGCTCAGCTCAGATGCACTCCTCATGAAAATGCTTTTTGTCCTTCTCTGCCCTATTAAGTACATAAGTAAGTAGCAGGACAAATAAAACAAGCAATCCTGAAGGCTCTTTTCAGGGGCATATTAAGTAGTTTAGATTGGTCAAGTCATAGGATGCATGTCAGGTAAAAGGGCTAAGACACCAGGTTTGAAAAGGTGGTCTGGGTCTAGCTTGGGAAAATGTAGACTCCTCCACTTTAAAAATTTGGTAGCATCAAGAAATCAATTGTTTAAGCAGAAGATTATCAAGGTCTGCTCTGGGCCTTGGAAAGAAAACCAGAGTGAAATATTTCCCTCAAACCCACTCCCTCAAATTCATGGCATTCTGCTATGGGTAAAAATGGAATTTAGATACTGTGAATGTAGAACTGTATGACATAGAACTATCTAAAAAAAAATTAAGCCAACTCCACATGTGCTCCACAGTAGTTTTCTTGTTAGAATCAGCTGGGGGACTTGGTAAGCATGAAGGGTCCACAGCCCCAACCTACATCCAATGATCTAAATCATCACTGCACAAGTCTCAGCATTGTTACTGAACAGGCTGAATGCGGGGTCCCTGTGTCAGCTCTAAGAACACAGCACCTGTGATCATCTGATCATCCCCAGCCCTCTTCTCCACCCAGGAGCTCCCCCAGAAGCAAGGAATCAGAATCTTCACGGCAAGGCCCACGTCTGTGATTTAACAAGTACTCCAGGTTATTCTGTGCATAGTCCAGGTAAAGAACTGTATCCTCCCAAGCAGAAAGGTCTCTGATGGAATAGATCAAATTAATATTGAAAACCCCAGAGTTGAAGCAGGTATAACCAGTGTTTGCAGAAGCACAGGAAGAGGACATGTAGACAGCAACTTACAGATGTCAGGAGAGAAGTAGTAATAGAAGATAAAGACGGATCTTTGGATGCTTGCAGAGTCTGTGATTATTTGAAATGTCAATGTATTGGAAGATGACTCAAAGACAGGAACGAAGTCATTTTCACTGCAGACTTCCCCTAGAAGAGGTTCATTGGTAGAGCTTCCATCAAAGACCTGAATGTTTTCACTTTCACATGATCCCTCCGAATCCAGCCTGTGGACAGAAAATACTTGAGGCAGAAGAGCCACTAGCAAAGTAGCTTCACAGAGCGGAGTCAACTGTTCATATTGACATGGTGATTTACACAACTGTGGCACATCCGTTTTTATTTAAACTTCCCAAAGACTTATCAGCATCCCCGCCACCTTCAGGATCAGACCATACACTATCAACAGTTACGGGATCGGGAAGCTGAATTGATTTACCTACATCTTACATGAAGTAAATGGTGGAGATGGGCCTAGAAGCCAGGATTCCATTCCTTCTCCCTATTTCCATCATTCCTGTCTCCTCCCCACCCCCACCCCCACACACACATCCAGGAAACTTTTTGGTGAAAATCTTAACTAGAGTAGAAAAGAAACCCTTCTCCCACAGCCACCTCTCTCAGGGTTAATCGGAGCTTAGCATCTTCCTAGCTGCCGCTTCCTTCCCTGTATCACTACCTTCTCATTCTGAAGGATGGCTAGTCCCATGGGGTTTCCAGCAAGCCCAGGATTTTATTTTTCTGCCAATTTTGACAGGCTCACAAGGGATATATGTCCAGGATGGCATAAAACAAATATTACAAGGGTTGAGAAATCTGAGTTCCTTTTCCCTTCATTGCTTACCTGCTTTGGTTTTCCTTGACCTCAATTTTCTCTTCTAGAAAATGGGAAGTGCATAGCATACTTTTTACTTTTTGTCAAGTTTATACTGTTCTTAAAGCACCACAATATGCATGAAGCACCTAGCACAGGCCTGCCACATAGAAAGTGCCTGATAAATGTTTAATGTTATTTTTCACCTACCTTTGTTCTTCCCACCTTTCTGTTGCTTCTCTTTATACATCAAAAATAATGTACATTTTTTGATAGCTCTAGCATTCCAGGCAGTTTAAAAGTCCTTTTCCTTTTTGATTCCTTCAGTGTCAGCCGAGTCCAACTTCAGTGGTAAAGTTCACAAAGTGACCAGCAGTATCAGTGTCATTTGGCAATCTGTATCCTGTGCAAAGTCTCACATATCCATGCCCATCTGAATAAGTTAGTGGAGACCCTGGGTGGGGCCCACTAACTTGTGCCTAGAGGTGGGGTAAGATACTGAGCACTGAATACTGAGTGCTGAATAAGAGCCCTGAGATAGGGTAAGAGTAAGAACAATGATCCCATTCCCACTTATTACTTTGGGACTCTGGGACCATTAAGTGCATTCTCTAGGCATTTTTATCTATTTAATGGGACTAAAATGCAAGCCATAAAATGGTTGATAAGATTACCTGGGACAGACCTCATGAAGCACTGAGTTACAGGGGCACTGTGTTCTCAGGTTGGCCTCACACTGGCTTGCCTGGGTACTTATAAAAATCACTTATGATCTAAGTAAAAAATATTGATGCCTGGGTTCTGGGTCCTCTCTCAAGACTGTTATGTGATTAAGAATCAGAAGTTTATTGTTTCAAGACACAGAATTTGGAACTAGACTAGCTGGTTGCTAAGCCTAATCATTCTACTCACTGTTTGTGGTGACCTCAACATTTTGAAACTTCCTGTGTCTGTAAGCCTAGTAATGACCTCAGGGGAGCTCTGTGAGACAGGGGAGGCATGCAGTTAACAGCAGTGACTACTACTCACTGGTAGTCATTGTCATCATCATCATCAATGACTGTCAAGCATTATTGTCATCAACACCATTATCATTATCATGGGAATGACAACCATCCCTACCACCTCTAGCAGCAGTTGAATTCTGTAGCTAGAGGTCAAGCTCCCTCCTTGAAAAGCTGAAGATTCTACTTACTGGATGTGGGAAAATATGATTCTGATGTTTTTGTTTTCTGGTCTTTCTATTGTCCAAGTGCAGTTCTCACTGGCCTTGAGTTGCAGGATCATGGCGTTGTGTGTGTCTGCCAAATTGGCACCTCCCAGGCTGGCAGTGCAGTCTGATCTGCCTGGGAAAGAACACAGTGGTTGCTGAAGGAAGTCCAAGCACCTGTCCACTCCTGCAGCTATCTCGCACATGTCATACCCTACAAGCATGCAGCTAATCACAAATGCTATTTTTGTTCATTCCATACCAAGTCACGAGCAATAGAGTTTTCCTTCTTGGAACCCTTGAGATTTTCTACATATGGTCCGTCAAAAAAGACTATATTAGGGTCTGAAGAAAGATGGGAGCTTTATGTCTAGGATATGTAACAAATCCTTACAATTCCATAATTAAAAGACAAAGAACACAATTACAAATGGACAAAGAAAAGGATAGACTTTTCCAAAAGAGAGCTATTGATCAAAAACTCGTATATAGCAGCAAACTTTCTCATTTTCTTTTTCATTTCTCATGAGTGGAAATATCCTCATACCAAATCTTTTATTTTTTTCTAACTTTAAAAATGATCTTTATTAGAAAAAAAATCAAAAAATAAAAGTAATTAAAGAAGAAAGGTATAATTGCACAATCCCACCTATGGAAAACCAATCATCATAGAAGCATTGCTGTGACTATATCCAGATTGTTCCCTTTCCTCTGCTTTCCTTCTCCTTACAGATTTCTTAAATCTTATCATTTTAACCATAAAAACTATCATAAGTTTCAAAGAGTTTTTTATTTTAATGTAGATACTAGGCATCTTTATAATTTATGAGTGTCCTTTTTTAAAATGTGTAGAAAAGTATTTCTTTGTTATGAATTTACCATAGCAAAATCAGTGATGGAAATTTATATTGTTTTTATGATTATGTAAATACCCATACTTGTGCATTAACTTTGTGTACTTTATGATTATTTTCCAAAGATAAATTCTTAGTAATGAATTACCCAATAAAACTCCATGTACTTTGTATGTTTCAATGTACACTGTCATATAAGCCTGAAAGAAATTAGTACTAAACCAAAATCATACCAACAGCATTAAAATTTTATCTGTATTGGGGCCATAAAGATAGGGGTCTATAGACAGGGAAATAATAAAATAAGTGTTCATTAAATGTTCCTGATAATCTTGACTAGAGAGTTAAAACTTTACTAGAGGGAATCATTAAAAGGATAAGGATAAGAAAGGCAAATAAAAGCAGATAAAGAAAGGCACCACATGGCATTGGGACTTACATCAAAGAACCAGAGGGAACGCTGATAGGCAGAGCACAGGGGAAGCCAGGTGCATGAAACCAGGATAGCACCCCCTCCCCACCTTCAATAAAGTACAGAGGAGAAGGGGGAAGGGCTCACCTGAGGAAAATCGTATTTAGTATAGAAATATATATGTCACTCTGGAGTCACCATATTACTGCACTAGATACACACATATCCCCTTAATTAAATCACTAACTCTAAGCTGACTTTCTATAAGGCTCCTCCTAACTAACCTATAAATGCCAGAGACAAGGCCCTGACAAGGACAGGGAGATGTCAAACAAAGCCCACCCAAAGAAATGGCACCCAGGGTAGGGTCTTGTGTCCTGAGATCCATCCAAGACAGCCCGGAGAGTCAATCAGGTTGTGGCAAGTTCCAGGAAGGAAGGGTCTCCCAAAACCTGATAAAAGGAACTGGGGACTAAGGCCCACAGGTATCCATTTTCCCAGAGCCCCTTGCTGCCCTCTCTGGGGCAGCTTTCTATCTTTTTCCTCCTTACAAATAAAGTGTTTTCCTTTTTAAAAACTCCATCTCTTTAACACATTACTGGTGCTGAGTTCACAGTCCCAGTTAGATGCTCATCCCGGTGAAGCAGCAGTGCCCACTCCAGACTCAACAGGGCCAACAGCACTGAAATCTTTTAAAATTTTGGAAGAGGCCTGATGAAATGAGGTCTTTTCTAGCTTAGGGGAGAAATCCAGTTGAATGTTCTTACCTTCAACTTCAGACACATTCGGATCTGCCAGACATGAGGTTATTAAAAGGGCCAAGAAAATGAGCCTTCTTAGGACCTCCATCATTGTAAGGGGCTAGGCAAGCCTCAGGGACAGTAGGCTTTTATACTTCCCTGGGTTTCATAACTCCCTGGGTCCACACTCTTCCTGGCCAACTCTAGGGAAACGTGTCAAGGGGAGCTGCATGTGAGACAATACCAGGTGTGCGGCTGCATCATTGCCAACTGTAGAGCAGTAAGTTCACTCCCCAGCTAGCTCACTCCTGGAAGGGCTGCAGGTAGTGCCCGCCTGGGCTCTCCCCAGTCTCAACAGCTGGCACAGCAGCCACAAGTAAAATGTGGGGGAACAAACCTAGACATGAGCCTTGGCCCTGTCTGTGCAGATCATGCATGGGGTACCGTCAATGGCACTTTAGGCCTTTGCTGCTCTGCTCCAGAAGTTTCCATTTGGGGGTCTGAAGGCCCAGAAGAGTAGAGTGATACAGCACTTGGACATACTCTGGGCCCAGCTGGCCGCTCAGACACCTGCAAGGGCCTGACCCTGAGTGGAAAGAGAAGGCAGAGGATGTGAGGAAAAAAACAGTGTAGGTCAGACCCCCTGCATGGAGTTCTAAGCATTCATGTTTGCAGAGGTTGAAGCAGGTGGATTAGAGTCCTGTAAGTGCTGGGTTTGCAGCTTCGAGAAAGGAATCCTGACATCTGAGATAAGATGAGGAGGAACAAGTGTGCACGTGGAGAAAGTCGTCCTCCATTCATTCATTCATTCACTCACTCACTCACTCATTCATTCATTCTGCAAATAGTCATTTCTCACTATTCCAGGGCCTGGGAATACCCAACTGAACTGCGAATACATAGTCACTACTGTCGTGGAAGTTGCATTGTAATTCGGGATAACACTGAGATGACAACCAAGTTAAAATTCAAATTAAGGCTCGGCATGGTGGCGCACATCTGTAATCCCAGCACTTGGGAGGCTGAGGCAGGAGAATCGTTGTGAGTTTGAGACCAGCCTGGGCTACAAAGTGAGCTCAAGGCCAGCCTGAACTCTATAGTGAGACTCTGTCTCAAAAAGACAAAAAAATAAAATAAAATAAAATAAGATTCAAATTAAGGAGAGGTTCTTTGATTATTGTAAAATGGGATTGGATAGAGAATGGGATTGGAAGTGTGGGAAGGATGCAATATTAGGGTAGAAGGAAGACACCTTGAGAAGATGAAATCAGAGCAAAGACAAAAAATGAGGCGTTCGTGTGTATGTGTGTGTGTGTGTGTGTGTGTGTGTGTGATCTGGCTTGAGGGTAGGGCTGGACTTGAGATAAAAGGGTAAGCGTGACAGCTCTGTGGCAGGAACTGGCTGAGCAGTTCTTCAGTACAAGGAAAAGGAGAAAGTGTGGTTGTAAGTGAAAAGGAAGGAAAATGGAAGTGAGGGTAAAAGAGAAAACAGGATGGAGGATGGGGAAGGCTCTTTTAAGACAAAAGAGAAATTTAAATTTTTTTCTAGGTTCCTGTGGAATTTTTCAGTTGAGCATGACATAATGGCAGGTTTTTAAAGAGTCATCTGAGCAACTCTGTGCAAGTTTGAGGTGGGTATAAAGTGAGTCTTGACTTGCTGTTGTTCTGACTGCTCTGCAGCCCAGGACCCCTCATCAGTCCACGGGAGAATGGACTCCCTGGGGGACAGCACAACTGCCACCCTGTGGCCTAGAGGTAGTGGTGGCTTCTTTGATTTCCTACTCCTGCTCCTGCGCTATCCTTGTTTAGTAGGTGGTTAGGAAGTGTATCTGCAATCCTCACCAGTCGGGGTTTTGTAAAAGAGGAAGTGCAGTGTGATTACAGGTGGAACATCTGTACTTCAGAAGAGGTTCTAGGGCAGTGATGGCGAACCTTTGAAAAACCAAGTGCCAAACTGCAACTCAAAACCCACTTATTTATCACAAAGTGCCAACACTGCAATTAAACCTGAATACTGAAGTTTTGGTTTGGAGAAAGCAACTCTGTATTAACATATTTTGTCTTAAAAGAAAAGCATAACGACGTGTGCCACAGGTTTGTCACCACTGTTCTAGGGGGCTCGGCAGAGGGCGAAGTGATGCGGGCCCATTCTTGTGGTTTGGTAAAGGGAGTCTAGGCTTTGGCCTTGGGCTAGAGTTTCCGGTTACTGCTGAAAACACTGAAGACTGAATCAGCACTTCACCGTGGAAATGATCTCAGGATGAGGCCATTTGGCTCTGAGTATGGGGGAAGCCAGCAAGGGGACTCTCAGGTTTTCTACTTGTCCTCATGATGCCTCTTTACACAGGTCAGGCAACTCCATCCAGAGATGTCCCACCTAGCTGTCATCACTGTCCTCATGAATGGAATCCTACTCAGGATATGTGACATCACTGACCCTAGTATAGGAGAGGAGTGAGAAAGAAAGCCCTTCAGGATTGCTGATCACACTCCTCCAGTGTGGCTGGCACCTTTAGCTGATGCTGAACTTCAAAATGCCCTGAGGCCAATGTGCACTTTCTTTCTGGGGTTGGAAAAGTGCTGGCCGCTATTATTTTCTACCTTATTTCTTCAGCTTCTATTGCCATATAATATTACAAGTTATTTCCCCAAGTCTCAAAGTAGGTGATATATACATATATACTACATATACATAACTACATACACTACATATACTACATATATATAACATATATACATATATATAAAACTAAGAAAAAAATACTAAAGAGAGAATTATTTTCAATATTCCATATTTATTCAGAAGTACACAAAATAACATTGTAGAGTATGTAGAATAAAAATTATAGAACTTGACTTGAATCACAAAACACTCCACCAAGAAAATTATTGCTCATGAAAATGTTTGTGTATACCATTTCCAAGTCACAGTCCCTCATGTACGTTACAGAAGCAAGGTGGAAGTGTATCATAATCTGCATACATTTTGCACTCATCACAGAATTGAAGAGTGGGACAAGAATTGATGGCAGTGGTTCCAGCCAGCATGAGTTTGTCCTTGTCTAAGTTAACATCAACACCGTGTTCTTTTGCAGCCCTTAAGAAAAGACATACACAAAGCACAGGATTAGAAGTTTTCTTTTCAGGGCAATCGTCAGGGCTCTCTGGGGAGTTCAGGGGTGCGACCAGTCATACAAGTGACACCAGCCCTGGATTAAAGCTCTCTGCCCCATGCCTATTTCCTCTCTCAGCCCTTCCTCTCCTACAACTCCTGTACATGTAAAGAAAAGTGACTTGCATGACACAGCTAGTTGCTGCCGACCTTGGAGATACAGGAATGAGGAGGAAGAGGCTGAAGCTGGCTGTGTCCTGGGCTCCAGGGTCCACAACCTAACTCCCTAGAATGGGGACATCATTGCTGCTGACAGCCAGTCTGTCCCATCTTTTGGATTCTCTCCCCCAAAAGCACCACTTGCTGTCACATATTCCTTCATTCTACTTACTAGCTTACAACCACAACCCAGAAAGAAAAAAACACCAAGATTCTGTAGCCACCCAATCTTGCCTTTATAAACCGGCCTGTGGTTCTTGACCTCAGCTAGGGCATGACACCAGTAGCAAGGAATAGACCCCTGCTCAAGCAAACAACCCCAGGTGTCCCATTTGAGGGGTATTTTTCACTCTTATCCCCATGACTTACTTCAGTGCCTTGGATAGTTTGACATAAAGACAGATGACAACACCTGTCAGTACAAACATGGCCACCAGGATTCCACTGCAAATGATCATTAGCATCATTGTCCGGAGATCGAAAGCCACAGTCATACCTGGACAAAGAAGTGCAGACAAACACTAAGGTCACCTCCCTCCCGACACAGGAATGAAGGAATGGAACCCAAACACAGATCGTCAGGTATGTAAGCCTCCAGAGAATCTTCCCACTCTTATCTTCCCACAAGAGAACTTGGAGCCCTTGTGTAGTAAGATGGTTTATTTCTATATGAAACAAACTAAGATTCAAAATTTTATAGAGAAGGAGAACAGAATGACAGTGGAAAGAATCTTCCCCTTTCACAGGCGGTAACGTGACTTTATGTGATTAAAAAGGCTTACACAGGAGCTAGTAGATTTACTCACAGATCCTGGACCTCCCAAACTATGTCACACTCAGAAATGACTACTCACTGTACATCAGACTGACAGGTCTCCTATGGGGATAACTGCTCCGAAATGTTATTGCTCAAACAATCCCCAAGAACATTTTGTAAATTTTGTACGTTTTTGAGAAAGTTTTCAATTCTCCTACTAAAAATTGTTGTTATGTTTCTAAATTCTAAATCTTAAGCCCATCCAATAAACCCAACTTTTAATCATCAGCTTGTTTAATCTAACCTCTGAAATGAGGACAATGTAAATAAGAGGAGTAGAAAAACAATCTGACTGCCAAGGCATGCTTACTACCTTCTAACTCTTCATGACTGGACGAAAGCCAACAGTTTTTTTAGAATACAATAAAAATAAAGTTTAGGAAAACAGTACATCTTACCAGAAATGTCTCATACCTTTAATTTGAGAGAGACGATTCCAATTATTAAGTTGAAGAAATCATTGCAGAAGATCCAAGTTGAAGAACTGATTTTAGAAGCATAATTGTCCACCAGAATAGGCAGAACAGAAAGCCACTGTGAGCCCCATCACCTATCTCAGTCAGAACCCATGCTTTATGACATCAGCTCTTTCTGCAGAAGCTCTCTTTCACAGGGTTCTAAATTCCAGTCCATGCTCAGATACATGTTAGCACCAATGGACAAAGAAATGCCTGAATATTGACTTAAATCATGTAATTCATAGTCTCTCCGTTTTAGATTTGGTTTCCTTCAGGGAAATGTATGGTGTGACTGCTAATTGAAAGTAAATATACAGCTGGTCATGGAGGCACAAACCTGTAGCCTCAGCTCTTGGGAGACTCAGCCAGGAGGAGCTCCACAAGTCTGAGGCCAGCCTGGGGTACATAGTGAGTTCAAGACCAGTGAGAGCTACATAGCAAGACTCTGTCTCAAAACAAAACAAACAAACAAAAAACAAATGTGGGATTTCAAGTAATTAAAA